AAAGATGCATGCTGAAATGAAAAGAGAATTTTAGACAGGAAGGGCGAGGCTGATTATGATAGGCCTTGAGAAGTCAGGCATAATATTTTAGACTTGAGATAGTACATAATGGAGAGAAACTGAAGGTTGCACATCCAGAATAGACATGATGAAGTGGTCATTTTAAAGATTAGACAGGCAAGAGAACACTAAAAAGACCAGAGGGAAGCTTCTCATTCATTTATTCAGCAAACATTTAATGAGAGCTTACTAAGAGTCAGGCTTGGGAGGCTGTTGCAGTACTGCAGGAGAGGAAGAGTGAGGACTAGATTAGAATATAGAAGGAGGGATCTATATAAAACATATTTCAAAGGTCTTGATGACTCATTGATACAGAGGATGAAGGAAACGAAGGAAAAGATGGTTAAAGATAATTCCAACGTTTCAAGATTAACGTAATTTCCACTGTACTAGGAATCTCAAAAAGCAATGAGAGTAACAAACAATAAAGTATAAAAAGGGCTCTGATGATATTGAACAGTCAATAAATAAAACTCCTAAATGGCTTGTTTGACATCCTAGTAGTTCATTTACACTTAGTCTGTGGAGAAGAAACTTCAGTGAAAAGACCTTTTTTTTGTGATTAAATGCTGAGTTCCCTTGGCAAGGACAGCAGAGGTCTGCCTAATCAGACAGGCTCCATCAACCCTCCAGCAACCCCCTCCACCATCTGAACCTAGATTGGTTTCATTAGGAAATGTGGCGGCCTCGCCGCTGCCTGGCCGCCAGTTTTGACTTTGGAGAAGGGGACAAGGCAAAGTGGAAAGGGAGAAATAAAAAGTGGGCAGGGTCATTCAGAGAATGGGGAATGGTACCGGATATCACTTTAAATAAAGGATCCCAGGACTGCTTTCCTTTCTATACTTACTTCCTAGTGTTTTACAAGTCCTGATCTCAAGTAGATAGGAAAGCCTTAAAGAGTCTTTACCAAATTGTAGCGCATTGTTCAGAAACTATTTTAAATGTGCATATTTATGCATATATTAACTCCCAGCACAGTTCAGCATATGATTGAGACACAAATTCTTCTTAATAATTTATATGTTGACTACAGAAATTTAAAGCTCATTTAAACTTTATATTTGGCAATGGTGCCATTCACTATTGAAGCACACCCTGAAACCCCACTCACTGGGAAATGTGAGAAACGAAAACTGTAACTATCAAACTTCTGTTACTACAAAGAGTTCTCCCGGTTTTAAAAAAAAAAAAAAAAAAAAACCACAAGCGCCAATACCTTAGAGAAATCCAGTCCCGCTTGTAAAATTCAGTATGGAAATCCCTCAGCCTAGCCCAGCTCCAGCAAAAGCAGGTCTTATTTAGTTATAAGTGGAAAGGAATACTCTTCTCTGCAGAATGATGCATTAGCTACCTTACATATAAGTCCTTAATGTTAGTGTCAAAGTCAAACTTTAAAAGGTTAACATTACAAAAGAATCAGTTGTTCTGAAAAATCCTTCAATATCCTTCTCATAACAGCTACTCAGATTAATAAGAAAGAAATCAGAGCAGAAAGAAATCCAGTAAAAAAAATGGTTGCAAAATAAGTACGCGAGGATTTTTGCTCAGACCCCTTGTGGGACAGCCAAGGGCCTAGTCAGGGAAATTCCAAGAGCAAGTCCTCAACGTGCCCTGCAACGAGGCTTCAAATGGGCTAGGGTCTTCCCTCTCTCTAAGACTAAAAGATAAACACCCATCAAAATCCTCTAGGCTCCGAGTTTTCATACCAGGAAGGAGAGACCCATATGATCGCGGAAAGAAACTATAACCCATTAGCCTCTTCCTGCGCCTCCGATCCGTCACGGGGCCACCGGCCAGGGGTCTCCCCGCCGCCCCAGCCCAGCAGCTACTAAAGTGACAGGTCGCCCGGCATAAGCCCCCAAATCCCGGAGCCCCACTTACTGGCGCCGCGAACTCAGGCGGGGGCCCGCCCCTGCGGTGAGCGCAGCTCCTCGACGAGCGGGGCACAGCCGCCAGCTCCGGAGCTGGAAATGGGGACAATCCCTGCTAAGACCGGCCGAGGGCTGCGTGCAGGGACGCCCGCGAGGTCCGCCGAGTCGCACGGGCCGCACCGCGCATGGTAGTGCAGCAGGAACCCGGCCGTTTTCCAGCCTCCGGCAGGAAAACAAACAAAAGGCTGGGTGGCTTCTACTGGGGACGACCGGCTGCTTTCCCTGGGAAAAGTTACCCTGCAGCTCCCCTCGCTGGCCCTGCGCGTCCCTGCACCGCGTCCCGTTCGCCCCGGCTCGCCCGGCCGAGCCGCGCGGCGCAGCTGTGGGCCAAGGGCGGCACAGAGCCCAGGGACCCCTAACGCCTGCTGACCACAAGGCCATCTCTGACTCCAAACGAACGCCTCGTTGCAGATCGGCTCGATCAACCATCAAGACTTAGAAATATGGAGGCTGTCGATGGACGTTCTGAGCACATTTAATGAAAGGTAATCGTTGTGAAAACATTTTTCTTATTTGAAAAAACGTAGCTGAGGTGGCACGACATTAATGCCACCTAATTAAGTAATCAATGCCACTGAATTGGATTCAAAGTGGTTAAACAGCAAATTTCATGTTACCTTTATAGAAAAATAAAATGAAAACCCAATTGATTGTTAGCATTCCTTTGAACTCTTAACAGTTTTATGTTGTTAGCAAGTAGTTGTAAAGACTAGACTCTTATCCAGATGGGAAACTGACTTTAGTCAGATATCCTCTACACAACATGTAATTTTATAACATGTAATTTTATAACAAATTCATTTATGTCATAAGTGATATGGTAGATATTACCTAAAATCATCTTTATGAGGCTACAGGGCTTTGAATAAAGAAGTTGCTTCCAGGTCCCTGATTTTTAAATTTACATAATTGTTCTAAGCCAACAGTTGTTCAACATTAGCGGGAAGCATCAGAACCACCTGGAGGACTTGTTAAAACAAGTATCCGGGCTGCACTCTCAGATTCTGGTGCTAATGTTGCTGGGTCACACTGCCATAAGCAACACAAATTTAACCAATAAAGCAGTAACTCTTTAACACTTCGTGGACTGTTCTCTGAGTTTACAATTCCCAGCTGATCATCATATCAGTTTTTTCTCACTATTTTTATTTTTTAATTCTACAGACTGAAGATTGTTTTTTACTGAAAAAATCTATACCAAGGCCTGAATCCCTCTCTCCTCTTGATCTTGTGGAAGAAGCATGCAAGATACAAGATAGTCAAGCTTCTTTAGATTTCCTCTCCCAAATGGAAAAAGGTCATCTGGTCACTTGACGTATGTATAACATTGATATCCACCTTTGTGCTTACCTATTTAACAGCCAGCCCATATGGCAAATGAAAACTGAAAATCATTATCAGTGAAAAGATAGAGAGACATGACAAGGAATCTAACAAGTCATATACTACGGCCATGAAAAGCAATTTCTAAAGTAAAATGATCAGTTTTAGTCAAATTGTACAAGCAGGTCTACCTGGCAAACAGAGGTCTACCTTTTAGCAAGAGTCCGCTAGGCTAGTAAGTAGCTTAGATCAGTAGTTTTGGCCTCAGGAAATTATAATCCTGTAAATATAATATGAGAATATAACCTTGTAATGAGGTCTAGTGTATACTGTGGAATTGACTGAAAATAGAAAATTAGTAGCTATGAAGCATAATAGTGTTTTAATGCTTAATTTATCTTTACAAATATTATTTTATTAAGCTTTAACTACTTGCTAGAATAAAAGAAACCATCTGTGTAATTGACCAGGCTATTTTAAACTAGCACTCAACATTTTAAATGAAACAGATTTGTTCTGAAACTATTTCAATACTTCATTCTCAGTTTGTAAAAGAATCACATTTATCATTTTATTCTATTGTAAATCTTTAGATTTAACCTTTCCCCCCAATTTAAATTTCAAAGTCTAAATTTAAGGAGTTCTTTGGGAGGAAATTTATCCCTAAAAAGATTTAAGCCCTAGAGTCTCCTTTAAAAATTTAAATTTTTGGCTTCTTTTAAACACTAAGGCATCTTTTATAGGTACCTGATTTACCGTGCAAATAAAAACACACGTATCCGAAGGGTGGATTCCAATATTAAAACATGGCAGGCCGGGCGCGGTGGCTCACGCCTGTAATCCCAGCACTTTGGGAGGCCGAGGCTGGTGGATCACGAGACCAGGAGTTCGAGACCAGCCTCACCAACATGGTGAAACCCCGTCTCTACTAAAAATACAAAAATTAGCTGGGCTTGGTGGCGTGCGCTGTAATCCCAGTTACTAAGGAGGCTGAAGCAAGAGAATCCCTTGAACCCGGGAGGCGGAGGTTACAGTGAGCCGAGATGGCGCCACTGCAATCCAGCCTGGGCGACAGGGACACTCCGTTCCAAACAAAACAAAACATGGCATTTGGACTACCTTATTGTAGCTCGTTCTCCCTCCCCTTCACTCTCTCTCTCTCTCCCCTCTCCCCCAGCACTTTCACCTCCATTTCTGTGCCAAAGATGTACTACAATTTTTTTTTTTTTAGACGGAGTCTCACTCTGTCGCCCACGCTGTAGTGCCGTGGCGCGAACACTGCCACCTCCGCCTCCCGGGTTCAAGCGATTCTCCTGCCTCAGCCTCCTGAGTAACTGGGATTACAGGCGCGTGCCACCACGACCGGCTAAGTTTTGTATTTTTAGTAGAGACGGGGGTTTCACCATGTTGGTGAGGCTGATCTCGAACTCTTGATCTCGTGATCTACCCGCCTCGGTCTCCCAAAGTACTGGGATTACAGGCGTGAGCCTCCGCGCCCAGCCGATGTACCGCATTTTTAATCTCTCCAGAATAGAATGGATTAGAAATTTAAACTCTGTAAACTCGTTGAATGTTTGGAAGCCTATTAGTTCCTGGCACCAGTAAAAACTTTAAAAACTCAGTATATGTTTGCTAAATGAAGGTAATATGAAGACTGTCAGTTTTCACAGGCAAACCCGTAGTTAAAAAATTTAAATTGTGTAAAAACAAAGTATCACCTGATAAACAAGTACATTCACTTGAGAAGAAATAAGGTAGTTTGGGCTTTAAGAGGTGGGGCGGAGGACCAAGTGTAAGTTCCGGTGCTCAAACCTGAGAGGCCGACTACAAATCCCAGAGTGCCTCGCGGGCGCCGTCTCCACGGCACTTGGGTTTCAGGGCCATGGAGTCGCAAGCCCTTCTCTCACTGCATTATGGGATCTGTAGTGAGACGTGCCTTGCGTTAGCTCTTTCCTCCTGCTGGGCACCAAAGCGCGTCTTTTCCTCAACCTCCAGTCTGTCTGTGCTCTCAAAAACTTTAGTCGTTATAACAACTGTGACTGTTGAGAAGTTTGTTTTCCCGCATTCCTGGCGCGGGACTCTAGCCAGAAGCTCCGAGGACTTTGTTGCGACTGTCCCAAGCGTCCAGTTCGATGCTTCTCAGGGCGGCTTGCCTTACGGGCCCACCCCTAAATTTGGGTTGTAAACATTTTTGAGGTAGTGCTTGTTCAAGTTCGCTTAAGTGTTCACTTAGCCCAACAAGCGGGTTGAGCTTGAGGTTCGGCACCCGGGCAGCCTCACCCAGCGTCAGGCGCGCGCCTACAGTAGGTCCGCGACCCCTAGCCTACCACGAGGCAGCCCGCGGGGCTGGGTGGCCGGGCAGCGCACACGGGCAGCACCGACACTGCGCATGCTCGGCGCGTCGGCGCAGGTTTGCGCAGCTGAGGGGGCAGCACCGCAGCGGCGTCCGGGGTCTCCAGTAGAGCTGACGCTCCGGTGTTCGCATAATCCCCTGCTTCGGCTGGCAACGGGCGTCCCTCCACTCCCCGAGTCCCCGGCCGCCGCCGCCACCCCAGCGCGCCCCGATCTGGCCCCCTGCCCCGCGAAGATGGCTGCCGTACGCCGGGCCCGCAATTATTGCCGCTGCCTGGTGCGCTTCTCCGACCGAGAACTCTGCTAAGCTCTGCTGCAGAGACAGGCAGGAGTAGACACCCAGACACCCAGCACCCCTCCTCCGGGGGGCGGTGCAGTGGGGGCACGGAGAGCCCCTCGAGCGCAGCAGGCCGCCCCGCCAGCATGGTAACCTGGCCAGGGGGCTCGAGGGTGGACGCCGCGGGGCGGGAGCGCGGTGTGCAGGAGGGGCCGGGCCTAGGGCTGGGGGTCGGCGGGGACTCTGGGAGGAGTGGGAGCTTCACGGCCACCACCCGTTAGAAGGCCCTGGCCTGACAGGGAGTGCGTCGGGGGGCGGGGGTTGCCAACCCTGGCTTCTCCCCAGGGTTCCTTCCTGCTGAGCCTCCCCAACCCCCGCCGGGCTCGATGTGAGGAGGAGGGTTTGCAGGACAGCCGGGGAAAATGGCCCTTCTCGGCTCGCTGAGTATGTTGAACCAGTCTCGGTCCTCTCGAGGGATTTTATCAGAAGCATTGAGCATAGATTGAGGTGAGCTGTCACAGCGCCTGAATTCGGAAGGGAGCTCTGGTAAGCGGAGACACTTGTTGATTGTCCTTCTGCCGAAAAGCCAGGCCCACCGACAGGCCGTGCCGGCACCTTGAAGAGCCCTGGGTGGAGGACGCATTTACCCCGCGAGGCGTCAGTTCCCTGGGTAGTATGTTGGCAGGTGGTCCTGGCGGTGTGGGGTTGGAGGGTTCGTCTCTGCGGCGTCGGTGCGGTGCAAATGGAGAGACTGAGCTAAGTTGCAGAGTTTGACAGCGCAGATTCCATGGGACTGTTCCCTACTGGAATACGTATTCTCTGCCCTATGCCTTCCTTTGGTTTAGAATAAATTGTTCATCTGAGAAACTAATCTCTGACTGGGGCTTAAAGAATCAGGGATGAAATAATTCCAAACGAATTAATTTATAGTAGACTCAAATATTTATTGCATAAATGAATGGCTGAATTTATTTTTATTAAATTAATCTGGAGGATAGAAAAGGCGTCAATTGCTCCTGCTCCTAAACTCTCAAAAGTAGTTCTCTGACCAGGATTAAGCACTTAGCCTTTATGGGTTTATTAATCCCACCTGTGAAACGGGGATAACATGATGAAGACATGGGCTACTCATACACATTAACTACTCAAGTGAAGGTGATATTTAGGTCAAACTCGATTATGAAAAATAAAAGGAAAACTTCCAAGTGGTAACTGAGGCCCTACTTATTTCAAGTAGTAGTTGAATTGACCAAATGTCAACTCAGCCAGATCCCAGATACAATAGTTTGTTTTTGTGATCATACTGTCAAAATCAAAGTAAGAGTGGTTTGGAGTTCCACTATAACACAGGGGAGAAGAAAGGTGCTGTCTATATTACACTTCTCCCATTTCCTTTCCTCATCCTTCAGATACACATTATCCACATGACATTTTGTCAATTCAACCAATATTTTTGAGTACCTATTATCAGCCTGGCATAGTATGAGACTCTGGTACAATACTAGATCTTCAGTATAACCAAACCTGCAAGGTGATTTATGATAAACTTTTAATCAGAGAATGTCACATATGAAAAGGGACCTTAGTAGATCACCATATCTTTTTATTGATGTCCCACAGACATGACAGCTGAGGCCTAGACAGGCCTTTACCACAAATCAAGCAATGTGTTTGGCCTTATGGTTACAGAGGTAACTGAGATGTGTTCCTGTCTTCGATGCCTTAACTCTAGTAAATGAAACAGCCAACCTCAGTACAAATGTTGTCATAATAATAAGCACAAGTGTTATGGGAACACAAAAGAGGCCATTAGAAAGGTTGAAAAATGCTTCTAAGATGAACCCTGAGCTGAATCTTGAAGCGTGAGAAGAAATAGCTAAGTGAGAAAGAAGGCATTCCAGATAGAGCAAGCAGCTTATGCAAGCCAACTGGACAGAGCAGGGGAAGCTCTTGAAGTCAGTTTAGAATGACTACTAGGTAAGAGTTAGAAAACTAAATTACAAAAGATGCCTCACAGAACTCAGGTCCCCTCCCATTACCTCTACTTAGAGTTTACAATAATAAAGCAGACTCTTACTTGAGAGAGAAATACACTTCTCAGTGGGATTTATACATTCAGTCTTTCATTACATACTTTCCTGCTGGTGGTGTTCTTAGTAGGAAAATCTCCCAACTTGAAGAGACTAAAAAGCAATGTATTTGACAATACATTAATCCTTAAATTTTCCATTTTTCTAGAAATGCATCTGAGTTCTTGATCTCATTTATTTCTTCACAGATACATGTTTTACAGTGTGCCTAGCATTTTACCATATACTAACTGGTTCAAGTATGAAAGGCACCTCTGCTTTGAGTCTGCTTGCCAGAGATAAGATAGGAGGCAAGGCTAATTTATGTTCTGTAATATAGTGCAAGTATATCTGGTAGCTGTGTTAAAGACCTGTGTTAATATAAATACCGCCCCCCCCCCTTCCTGCCCCGAAATAACATATGACTAAAATTTGCAATTGTAAAACTTACCATCTTTGGAACTAGTAAAATTAAATGGGTTTTATTATTGTCTAGCTAACCTTTAAGGGCATTTCCCTGATTGCCACATTTCTTTACAGTAAGTGTGGAGCAAGTTTCATTTGCTAATAAGTCTATTAGCTAACAGACTGAGCTGAGGCAACATGCCATTTTCACTGAAAGGTAGGATTTAGTTTAATTTAGCAAACATTTATGGAGAACAAAAGGATAAAATGAAAGTCATCTGACTGAAGCCTCTATTAAGTCCCAAGTCACACACAGTAATTCCAGTCTAGCTTTATTACACTGAAGCCAATCCAATATATAAAAATTTAATTTATAGACATAAAATAGAAGGGGTTTCTTTACAAAAGCATTTACTATTAAAAGTCTGACTAAGAAGCTTTCCTAGTACATATAAAATACACAGAAGTTTTATTTACATAGAACACATTTAATAACATGCTAGCTGTATAAAAGAAGTGACATCATCTTATGGACTATATTCTTTTTTTTTTTTTTTTTTGAGACAGGGTCTCACTCTGTTTCCCGGGTTGGAGAGCAGTGGTGCAATCTCAGCTCACTGCAACCTCCATCTCCCAGGCTCAAGCGATCCTCTCACCTCAGCCTCCCAATTAGCTGAGACTACTGGCATGCACCACCATGCCCTGGTAATTTTTGTAGAGACGGGGTCTTGCCATGTTGCCCAGGCTTGTCTCAAACTCCTGGGCTCAACCAATCCTCCCACCGCAGCCTTCCAAGGTGTTGGGATTATAGGCATGAGCCACCATACCCTGCCTGAACTATATTTTCTTAAGTGATCCATGAAACAAAAACTATCTGCTACAGCCAGGCATGACTGCACAAGCCTGTAGTCTCAGCTACTCAAGAGGTGGAGCAGAAGGATCTTTGGAGCCCGCTTGAGGCCATCCTTAGGAGACTCTGTCACAAGAAAACAAACTATTTGCTGAACTCCATAGGACAACTAAATGTTACTGTTTTCTGAAACAAAGTTGTTATTTTTAGCCACCTAACAATACATTTTAAACTAGACCAGTGAATTTGTTTATTCTACAGTATGAAAAAAATTCAAGTATCAAGTTATATCTGATTGGCATTGTTAAACTTACCTGTGAAGAAGATATCTACAAAGAAGCAATGTTGTATTTCATTAGCATGAAACATTGTAGTATTTTCTGTTTTAGTACTTGTAGAAGTTTATGGACACTAAAATTATTTGGGCTTTTGGCCTTAGACTCAATTATGTTTAGAACATCTGTCACAGCACCTTGTCAACTGCATTCCAGAACATTTCTCCTCCTGATGGAAAATACAACATGACCTATGAGGTAGTCTTGCAAAAGAAAAAAAAAATCTTGGCAAAATCTAATCTAGCCTCTCAAGATCCAGCCACAATTTACAGAAAATAAGAGTAAGAGGTCAAAGGAACGTATTTATTGAAACTTCAGCAAAATCTAACTTCTACAGAAAAACGACCCAGTTTCATCCCAAATAAATTACAAGAAAAAAGAGGATTATAAAAGACGAGACATATCAGTCAATTACAATGTGGACTTTATTTGAATCTTGATTTCACAAACTGAAATACATGTATTTTACATATGACATCTTGAGAAATATGAATACTGTGACTTGGTATTTGATATAAGGAATTACATTGATAATTATTGAAGTTGGGTCATGAGTACTTAGGGATTAATTCTCTTTAAATATTTTTTTCATAAAAACTTTTAAAATCTTGTAGAACTAAAAGAATACCAAAGATGTTCCTGTTTTATTTCTTTTATTTCTTTTTTTTTTCTTTCTTTCGTTCTTTTTTTTTTTTTTTTTTTTTTTGAGAGAGGGTCTCTGTCATCCAGGCTGGAGCACAGTGGCTCTATCTCTGCTCACTGCAACCTCCATCTCCCAGGCTGAAGCAACCCTCCCTCCTCAGCCTTCCAATTAGCTGGGACCACAGGCGTGCACCACCATGCCCTGCTGATTTTTTGTATTTTTAGTAGAGATGGGTTTTCACTATGTTGACCAGGCTGGCCTTGAACTCCTGACCTCAAGTGATGCTCCTGCCTCAGCCTCCCAAAGTGCTGGGATTACAGGTGTGAGCCACCACACCTGGCCAGAAGAAGAGAAAATAATTTTTATTATAGATTATCAGTAGTTATGTATATTAATAAAGGATTTGGCTTCATTTACCTAATTAGATTAATCATAAATCATTTATGAATAGTAATTAACTTGAATTGTTGCTTTTTATAACACAGTTGGCCCTCTGTACCTGCAGGTTCTGCATCCTGGGATTCAACTGTGGATCAAAAATATTTGGGGGAAAAAAAAGGAATACAACAATAAAAAATAATACAAATTACGAAACAATATACTACAAGAACTATTTACATGGCATTTACATTGTATTAGATATTATTAATAACCTACAGATGACAAAGTATATGAGAAGATGTGCATAGGTCATATGCAAATATGCCATATGAGGGACTGGAACACCCAGGGATTTTGGTGTCCTGAGGGCTCCTAGAACTAATCACTTGTAGATACTGAGGGACAACTGTAATTAAATTGATTTTTGGATGGATGCAACTGATGTTAAATTTGGCAGGGGCAGCGAGGGGGGGAATGTTAGGATTCACGATAACGTGAGTGCTGTGGTTTGGAGTAGAGAATATGCTTTTCAGACTCATTTTCCTTTGGAAATTAATAGTCAGGTCTCAAGTGTACCCTACAGCCTTGCTACTCTAAGTGGGTTCCACAAAGTGTTGACAGTATGGTACTAAATAGCAAGTGGCTGAATGGGAAATGTAGGTTACAGAGGGCAACTGGTGTGTATATATTTCTGATGTTATTTGGGTTTTTTTCCCCTTAGGCAGAAGCTGAGGAAGATTGTCATTCTGATACTGTCAGAGCAGAAGATGATGAAGAAAACGAAAGTCCTGCTGAAACAGATCTGCAGGCATGTTTCTTCAATTGTGTCTTTGATTTTTATTCCATTGTTCCCATACGTATGCAGAAATTGATCGTAATCATGGGTATTTGTAGGTTGTTACTGTTTGCATTGAATTTAACTGTTTTCTTGTTGGTTTGTAGAATACTTAAACTATGTTATGGCTTTGTGAAAAGAAGTATCAATAATGGCTGCTTGTAGTTTAACATATGGGTTTAAAGTATTCAAACTAAGGCTTACATATGACTCAGAACCCATAATCTTAAAAAGATTGATGGGTTTGACCACCTAAAAGTTTAAAATCTGTGTATAAGAAAAGGCAAGGCATCATAAGTAAAGTTAAGAGAAATAGCCAACTGGAAAAACTGTTTACCATATATGGGCAGAGGGTTCATCTTCTCATTACATAGAGCACTTATATATTTGGAGGAACAGAGGATAAAAAGCTATGAATGGACTGTTAATGGCAAAATAATACAAATGGCCATTAAATATTTGAAGCGATAATTAGCCTCATTAATAATTTAATCAGATTGGTGAATAATGTGTGTTGCTGTCCAGGCTGTGAGAACACTCATGCAGTGTACATGAAAATGTAAATTGCTACAGCTTTCTGGAGGGCAGGCTGGTAATATGTATCAAAATGAAAAACATGCATTCCCTTGATACAGCATTTCTACTTCCAGGAAATTAATTTTAAGGAAATAGTGGGGAAAGTAAGTAAATATGCAAGTATAAAGATGTTTGGTATAACATTGTTTATCTGGAAAAACATCATACATACAACTTAAATATTCGTTACCTGTTATTAAGTGGTGATACATCCATACAGTGAAAACACTACAGCCATTTAAAAGGATGAAGTAAATATGCATTAAAAGAGAAAAAAAGTTGCTCTAACTAGTTAAGTGTGTCTCACTGCACTTGTAAGGTTAATAATTGGAATGGATCGTCTAGTAGACATTGAATGCTACTAAAGATTCTGCAGGTCAGAGATCTGTGTGTAACACGGTAAAAGCGTAGCAACAAAGCAGTGTACAGAATAGAGAAAAATTAATTTAAAACCTTCTAGATATGTCTTTTTTTAAAAAAAAAAAAAAAAGAGGAAGCCAGGAATAACATATGCAATGGCTGCCTTTGGGCAGAGTGTATAACCCAGTTTGGGTTCCCCAGGAAGCAGACTAGGTGAAGACTGCTGTGCAGGAAGTTCATTAAGGAGTACTCTTGGGATCAACACCTGTGGAAGGGAGAGAGGGAAACAAATGGGCAGGGAGAAGACCAGCTGCAGTGCAGTCTTAATGGACAGCTTAGCCATCCTCGAGGGAGTTCTGAAGATGAAATACCCTTTCAGGGCTGACCTGAGTTGCAGAGAGCCAAGCCTTTATTAGCCATTGATCAGTCATTGGGTGGGGATTGAGAGGACAGTGTGATTTTGCAGAGGCAGTACCCAAGAAACTCAAGTGTTTTCAGATAAAACTCTCAGCAGTTTGGGTAACAAGTTCTTTATTTCTAAAAGGGAATTTGGGCAACACACCAGAGTCTACCTTATAGGGTTTACTTTTTATGTGCTTTAATTTTTTTTTTTTTTTTTTTGAAATGGAGTCTCGCTCCATCACCCAGGCTGGTGTTCAGTGGTGCGATCTCAGCTCACTGCCAACCTCTGCTACCCAAGTTCAAGCAATTCTTATGCCTCAGCCTCCTGAGTAGCTGGGATTACAGGTGCCTGCCACCACACCTGGCTAATTTTTTTTGCATTTTTAGTAGAGACAGGATTTTGCCATGTTGGCCAGGCTGTTCTTGAACTCCTGACCTCAGGTGGTCCACCTGCCTTGGCCTCCCAAAGTGCTGGGATTATAGGCATGAGCCGCTGTGCCTGGCCTTTAAATTTTTTAAATAATAAATATTTGAAACAATATTTTCTTTTTGAAATACAGAATGTTAATTAAGAGAAAGACTTAAGGCTTACCTATAGAATTTTTGGCAGCATTCTTAATATCTACTAGATGATATAGTCATTAAAAAATTATTGGAAGCTTATAACTTCAGCCTGTAAGTGATGGCTTATATTTTCATCCTAATTAAAATTCGGTTCTTTAATATAATTTGACTTTTGCTGTATTGACATGTATTTTATGCTAATTTCTTGATTCTTTAAGTTTTGAGCAGAAAATTATTTTAAAAGATAACATGTATTTAATGGATATTTAATAATTTAGAAGACAGTGGACTTAGAGTAATAAGTATATACATGGAAGTAGGTATTGGACATATCGGACATATTGATACATTGTTCCAGAGTTGAGCTACCCTTCCTTGATGAGTCCTAAAATGCTGTTCTCCCGGTAGGCACAACTCCAAATGTTCCGAGCTCAGTGGATGTTTGAACTTGCTCCAGGTGTAAGCTCTAGCAATTTAGAAAATCGACCTTGCAGAGCAGCAAGAGGCTCTCTCCAGAAAACAGCAGCAGATACCAAAGGAAAACAAGAACAGGCAAAAGAAGAAAAGTTAAGTATTATAGATGTTATAACAAATTACCTTTTTTTTAAATTTTATTTTGGCACATGGACATTTTCTCTGACACAATAGTCATTAAAACCAGACTTTTGGGACATAAACACGTATCTTGTAAAATAAAAATTTTGACTAGTATACTATTTCTCACAATTTCTTCTAGGTACTTTGGATGGTACCACTACTCCTGCATGGCTCTTTTCTCTGTAGGTACACTATCTTCATTGAGCTGTCTTGTTAATTTATAGACCTCTGGGATTCATGTGGTTTCTAAAAGATTGATGTCTTTGAATTTATTAACAGAACCAAAAAGAAAAAACAGAATTTTCTGAATTTATTAATAGAACTGAAAAGATTGCTCACATGTTAGTGTCTTTCCAGAGGTCTTAATTTCATGCAGTATTTTGTTATATTTTGAGTTGATCAGCTTACAATAATGCATTAATCTTTTTCTTATTCTGGGAAATTTTGAAATATTTTCACACTGATAATATTTTGAATGCTGTCTAATATTCATATCTCTTCTGGTACTTATACAGAGCAGGCACAGCATACCATTTCATTTCTTATTCTTCTTCCATAGAGGCTGCCATCTTTTTACCATCAGATCCAAGTTTGCGTTTACAATTAGTCATTAAATAATTGGCATTACGATAATGACTTACCTTCTATCTCCTCTTAATTTTTATTTTGAAATAATTACAAGTCCACAGGTATAGGGAAGTCTGGTGTACCCTTCAGCCTTCTCCGATAGTAACAACTTGCATAACTGTAGTACAATATCAAAAATGAGGAAATAGACATTGGAATAATCCACAGTTTACTTAGATTTCCTGGGTTTATAAACACTTGTCTGTGTGTATGTGTATAAATAGTTGTTTGCAGTTTTATTACAAGGTAGCCTCATGTAACTGCCACCACAATCAAGATACAGAACTGTTTTATAGTTATATACTCCTTTCCCTAGTCATTCATAACCACTGACAACTGCTGGTCTGTTCTCCATTTTGTAATTTTGATATTCCAAGAATGTTGTATAAGTGGAATCATCCAGTATGTAACCTTTTGAGATTGGCTTTTTTCACTAAGTATAATTCCCTCAAGATCAGTCCAAGTTATTATGTATCAGTAGTTTGTTCCTTTTTATTGCAGAATAGTATTGCATGGTATGGATGTACCCCCAGTTTAACCATTTATTGGTTGAAGGACATTCGAGTTGTTTCCAATATTTGGCTATTATGAATGGAGCTATGGAAATATATGTGTAGGTTTTTGCACGAACATAATTTTCATTTCTCTGGGATGAAACCCCAAGAGTGCAGTTGCTAAGTTCTATAGTAAGTGCATGTTTGATTTTAAAAGAAACTGCCAAAGTGTTTTCTAGAGTATCTTATATTAAGTTCCCACCAGCAATGTGTGAGTGATCCAGTTCATCCTCATCAGCATTTAGTGTTGCTCTACTTTTTAATTTTATTTTTTTTTATTTATTTATTTATTTATTTATTTTTTGAGACGGAGTCTTGCTCTGTGCCCCAGGCTGGAGTGCAGTGGCGCGATCTCGGCTCACTGCAAGCTCCGCCCCCCCGGGTTCACGCCATTCTCCTGCCTCAGCCTCCCGAGTAGCTGGGACTACAGGCGCCCGCCACCTCGCCCAGCTAATTTTCTTGTATTTTTAGTGGAGACGGGGTTTCACCGTGTTAGCCAGGATGGTCTCGATCTCCTGACCTCGTGATCCGCCCTTCTCGGCCTCCCAAAGTGCTGGTATTTATTTATTTATTTTAAGGCAGAGTCTCGCTTTGTCGTCAAGGCTGGAGTACAGTGGCGTGATCTCAGCTCACTGCAACCTCTGCCTCGCAGGTTCAAGTGATTCTCGTGCCTTAGCCTCCTGAGTAGCTGGGATTACAGGCCCCGCCAGTAATGCTGGCCTAATTTTTGTATTTTTAGTAGAGACGGGGTTTCACCATGTTGATCAGGCTTGTCTCGAACTCTTGACCTCAAGCAATCCACCTGCTTCAGCCTCCAGAAGTGCTGGGATTACAGGCGTAAGCCACCATGCCCAGCCAGATTGCTAATATTTTCAATGTTGTGTTTTGGAAGTTCTTTTTGTATTCTAGATACAAGTCTTTTATAGAATATGTGGCTTGTAAATATTTTCATCCTCTTAACAGGGCATTTCACAGAGCAAAAATTTTTAATTTTGATGAGGTCCAGTTTATCAATTTTTCCTTTTATGAATGGTGCTTTTGGTGTCAAATATAAGAACTCTTTGCTGAGTCCTAGGTCTCCAAGATTTTCTTTGTTTTCTTTTCTTCTAAAAGTTTTATGGGTTTTACATTTAAGTCCATGATCCATTCAAGTTAATTTTTATGTAAAGTATGAGGTTTAGGTCAAGGTTCATTATTTTGCCTATGAATGTCCAGTTATTTGACACAATTTATTAAAAAGGCCCTCCTTCTGCCATCCGTACTAATTTTTAATGCAGGTTTTCAAAAATTTTTACTTTATATTTTTATAGGCTCGAGAACTCTTCCTAAAAGCAGTAGAAGAAGAACAAAATGGAGCTCTCTATGAAGGTAAAAATTCAGAGCCCAGGTTCATATCATCATAACATTTCTGAATAATGACTCTGTTATTAACTATATTTTTTTTTACTATAACATATTTGGTATAGAACATCAGTTTTCTTAATACATTCTTCCTTCAGTACTCATTGGAAATTGGTTCCAGGAGCCTTTGTAGCTACCAAAATGCTCAAGTCCCTTATATGAATGGTCTAATATTTACATATAACTTACTTATTATGTAAATAGTTGTTATACTGTATTTTTTTGTTTTATTTTAAATATTTTTGATCTGCAGTTGGTTGAATCAGAGAATGTGAAACCCATAAATACAGAGGGCCAACTATATTTGAAATTGTTTTTTAAGAAATGAAAAATAGAAATTGTTTTTCTATATAACCTGTCTTTTTGCAAAAAAATATTGCTGGGAAACATCATCATATTGGTAGGATAAGCAAAATAACTTTTTTTTTTACATTTAACTTTAGTTATTCTTCATTAATATAGTATTTAATATTGTTCATTTTACAATATGCTCTTTTTATAGGTGAAAATTACTTCAGAGGATGGGAATATAAAGGATAAATTGAGGAAAAAATACATGTTTTTCTTTCTAAGTTCCAATTTACATATTACTAACAGAAATATGTGGTAATATGTGTCAGCTTTGTGTCTTTTATTAACCCAATAGAAATGTGTAAATAAAGTGATAGGACTATTTACCATATTAAGTTTGTAACTATGCTTTCATTTTGTGATAGCAAAGATAATAATTGAGGCATAGGAAAAATTCTTGTGCTTGAATCATTTGAAAATGCCCCAAAAGTTACATCATTCAGAGTTACTGCATTTATGTGCAAGTTTCTTCTAGTGATAATTTTCTTTAGATTTTTAGAAAGGCCCAATAGGTCAAGTCCCTGTGCAGCCTTCATTGGTTTGTGAAATTCGCATCTCCACTTAGTGTATGGTAATTCATCCAGAATAATAGAACATGGCAGAATATATTGAATTATAAACTTCTTTGTAGGGAAAAAGAACTAGTCAGCCTCTACAGCTCCAAGTTCTACTGGTGTATCTCTGTGGGGAGAGTTAGTGAATATTACAGCTCTAAACTACTTGTCTAGATTTGTAAAAAATAAGTTTTGAAGATTGCTTATGTAAATAAGAGGCAGCTGGGCTAAAGGAAGTTAAATTTAAAGGATAATTAAACAAACAAAAAAACTATTATTTATTCCACCCAGTAGGAAGCATTTAATTTTCCTCAACTTTGTGTCTTAGAAAAGTTTGCTTAGAAGGGTTTTTGGCCAAGCATGGTAGCTGATGCCTCTAATCTCAGCACTTCAGCAGGCTGAGGCAGGAGGATCGCTTGAATCCAGGAGTTCAAGACCAGCCTGGACAACATGGCAAGACGTTGTCTCTACAAAAAATTTAAAAATTAGCTGAGAGTGCTGACTGATACATGCCTGTAGCCCTAGCTACTCAAGAGACTGAGGTGGGAGAATCACTTGAGCCTGGGAGGTGGAGTCTGCAGTGAGCCAAGATCGTGCCAACTGCACTCCAGCCTGGACAACAGAGTGAGACCCTGTCTTAAAAAAAAAAAAAAGAAGTATTTTTGTTGGCTATAGCAATTGCATCTTCAGAGCCCAAAGAAAGACAACTATTTAAAAATCATGATACATAAGAGGGTGAGGAAAAACATGGGAAGGGCTAATATATAAGAGTAAAATACAACATCTAAAGTTTAGGGAAAAGTTTCTTTCTGAGCAGTAAGGTTTGGAAATAGTTTTGTGTCACTGAACTACTGTTGCATGTAGAAAAACAGAATTTGGCTGATTGTAGAGAAAGTTACCAAATTAAACCACAGTTAAGGGTAATCAAAGGAAATGACAAAAATATGTGGTCATAGCTAATTTAGCTTTATTTCTTCTTTTAGCCATCAAGTTTTATCGTAGGGCTATGCAACTTGTACCTGATATAGAGTTCAAGATTACTTACACCCGGTCTCCAGATGGTGATGGCGTTGGAAACAGCTAGTGCGTATATAATTTGATAGACAGTAATGCATAGAGTTTGTTAAAGTTAAGCATCTTTGTCCTGTTGACTCTTAACATAAGATGGTGCTAATGCTGTTAAGCTCTATACTCTTTAGTATATCTTTGTTTATAAAGTTGTAGAAATTTTTTAATTAGGGAAATTGAAAGATTAAGACATGGAAATGCACCTTTTAAACAGATACAAAAATAATAAAATGAAAACGGTTTAAAAAAATAAAAGCAGTAGTTACTGAAAGGAGTAAATTAAAGGACACATTTCAACTTTCTGAAACCTATTTTAAGTAGAAAGTTTTAAAATGTAATTAGGCTAAATTTGGCAAAATGTTAATAATGGTTAAAATTGAGTGATGGGTTCATGGGATTTTATTACACTAGTTTCCTTTTGTATATATTTGAAATTTTACATTTTAAAAAAGGCTTCTAATTTTATTAGGAAAATGCTGAACTATAAAAGTTGTTATTATTCTCTTAATGTTTTTTAGTAGAACATTAAAACTCTAACATTTATTTAAAAACACAGGTGCTAATATATTCCTAAAAGAAATAATATTTCAATTATATAGTTGCCACTTGCATCAAAGCCATGAAGTAGCGTTGGTTTTGTGTGGATAAAGATCAAGAAAACATATTTTTAAGGCAATACTTTTGAAGCTATTTGCAAGACAATTATAAAATTGTTTTGGTTTAATTCCACTGTCTCCCAAAACTCAATTTGCTGATATTAGAAGGGAAGGGGGTCTGTACCAATGAGAGAATGTCAGGTTAAAAATAGTACAGAGAAAAAAGTTTTGGTAACGAAATATTAGCTATTAATATATTCCCTCTGTCATGAAATAATTGTCACCTTTATTGATAACATATGCTTATTGCCAATGTTTTTTAACTGCATATGGTATTAACACTTAAGCTTTGAATAAGTCATATTAAAAACATCCCAACGAGGTCAATATTAATAGAAGTGTTTAAATTTTCAGCTAATAATATTGTTCACCAAATCAGAGTTAACAGTGTGAGATAGTTCATACTTAAAATGAATCACTTGGGTTTTTTCTAAACCTTCTTTATACTTGGGTAGAGTTGTTTAGATTCGGCTCTTCGCCAGTTTTGTAAATATATGCCAGATGCTGTTAAGAAAGATTGTATTAAAATATTAAAGAGGCATTTCTTTTCTTTCCCATTTTTTATACAAACCCAGAGGCTACGAAAGTTCTTTAAGGATTCATCTTTTTTTTTTTTTTAATAAGATCTGATAAGCCCTAAAAGTTTGCCTTTTTTTTTTTTCCTGTAACGTTTGTAGAATAGCCATTGAGTCCATCTAGCCTCAACCACACTTATATTTTGTTGTATTATAAAATGCCCTTCGTGTTTTTTTTTTTTTTTTTTAAGTCTGCATCACTTGAAACTTCCTGGTTTTCTAACTTCGCCTTCATCCAATCCTCTTTGTAAGTCTGATCATCTTTAAGGTTTACCTTCAGTAAAAATAGAAAGCTCAGACTTTTTTCTAGCACCCTTCACTACACATTTGCATATATTGATAGATGATTTGTGAACCCTAAGATGTTTTGAAAGTAGGTATTTTCCTCTCTGAAGGTAGGCTGATAAGGCAAATCTGTTAGAAAACCCTTGGCAAGTAAATACCTCAGATGACATCTGTAGATTTGGTTTTTATCCAGTTAGAATAAATTAAGGTTAAAGAACATATTACGTTAAGATTTTTGAAATCATTTGAAAGTTTTCACTAACTCATAAAATCTCTACTTTACAATAAAATTAGTTAAATCTCAACACCTGTATCCAAAAATTCTAATTCTTTCTGGATGATAATTACTGAAGCTTTTTTCTTTGAAAAACTGGTATGGTATTCCTTTGTAAGGCAGGAGAAATTCATCACATTTAAAAATGTATCACATGTTGAATAAGCTTTAGGTGACTTTTTGTAAAGCAAATTTGAAAATGCTATGAAAAATCAGTTCTAAACTATACGCTTATAGACTGAGGCACTTAATTTATTCACCTTCCTTTTTTCAGCATTGAAGATAATGATGATGATAGCAAAATGGCAGATCTCTTGTCCTACTTCCAGCAGCAACTCACATTTCAGGAGTCTGTGCTCAAACTGTGTCAGCCTGAGCTTGAGAGCAGTCAGACTCATATATCAGGTGTGAATACTTGTTTTTTATAACTCAGTGAGAAATATCTTAACCTTAGATTAAAGATTTCCAAATTTATAAGGTCAGATAATTTGCCAGATAACTGCTGCTTTAGTTCAGAATATGATGGAAGATCTAGTTATAATTATCATTTGCATATACTATTAAGCTGTTTTGTGGTTTTGTTTTGTATTTTTTTGGGACAGAGTCTCACCCTGTCACCCACGCTGGAGTGCAATGGTGCAATCTTGGCTCACTGCAACCTCTGCCTTCCGGGTTCAAGCGATTCTCCTGCCTCAGCCTCCCAAGTAGCTGGGATTACAGGCGTGTGCCACCACGCCCTGCTAATTTTTTGTATCTTTAGTAAAGACAGGGTTTCACTATGTTGGCCAGGCTGGTCTCGAACTCCCGACTTCATGATCCGCCGGCCTCGGCCTCTGAAAGTGCTGGGATTACAGGCATGAGGCACCACACACAACCCACTAGTAAGCTGTTTTAAAATCTAAAGCAGAACAGTTTGTAATGCTGTTGTTTAAGGATGCCATACCTTTTTCAGTAAAGATCTAACAGGGTAAGTCTGAGTTGTTGAGGTAGCCCTAAGAAAACTGGAGGAATACTGGTATCATGAAGCATTTCAACCATGTTGGACAATTGTCCTAAGACAGGCTGAATGTTTAGAAATTAATGTATTTTTGGCTGGGCATGGTGGCTCATGCCTCACCTGTAATCTCAGCACTTTGGGAGGCTGAGGTGGGAGGATCACTTGAGGCCAGGAGTTCAAGACAAGCCTGGCCAACATGGTGAAACCCCACCTCTACTAAAAATACAAAAATTAGCTGGGCGTGGTGGCGCATACTGGTAGTCCCAGCTACTTGGGAGGCTGAGGCCGAGAATTACTTGAACCCAGGAGGCAGAGGCTGCAGTGACCTGAGATTGCGCCACTGTACTCCAGCCTGGGCAACACAGCAAGACTCTGTCTCAAAACAAAAAGAAAGAAATTAATGTATTTTTAATATGTTAAATATTGTTTGGCTCGGGGCTTTTTCAGAGGAGGACAATTGGAAGTTTTCAAGGAGATGAAAATAACTATAGTGTTAATAGATGCAATATGGATCACACACAGTAGATTATTTTTGTAAAACATTTAATATATCTGGTATGAGGGAAAATAGTGTTTTATAAAAAGTAGTTTTAGATCTATACTGAAAAAACAAAGATATTTATGTCTTGATGTTAAGAACCATTCATTATTATTATTGAGTAGCTAAATACACTCATGCTTCAGCTCTGAGCAATACAGAGGGTGTCATTTATAAATTTCTAGGAAGGTATAAATGTACTGGGAATGTGGTTGTGCCAACAGAATGACATACAGAAGAGTCGCTGAAGGCTGATTTTCTTTTGCAGTGCTGCCAATGGAGGTCTTGATGTACATCTTCCGATGGGTGGTGTCTAGTGACTTGGACCTCAGATCATTGGAGCAGTTGTCGCTGGTATGCAGAGGATTCTACATCTGTGCCAGGTACTAAGTTTTGTTTTTGTTTTTTAAACAACTCAGGCAATGGTGAAAAGAAAGATGCTCCTTTGCCAATTTTGATAAAATTACCTGATTGGTATTCTGAGTTAAAGCTTAGAATAAACAAGTTTTGCTAAGCTGTACTTAATTTTCTCAAATAACTTAGAATTTAAAGGCTAGAATATGCTGGGTTTCTAGGGTATAGAATAATATATAGGACAGATGTAGTAACCCATACTGCTTCCATAGGGTTTGCATGCCAGCCTAACTGATTTGGGAAAAAGAATTATATTAGAAAAATATATTCAAGTCATCTTTATAGTAACTGTAAATCCATTGTGGTAATGGTGAATAAAACAGCACTCGAATTTTCTTGTGGCTTATTAAAAGTTATTCTATATTTTGAAAATTTTTCTATGTGTGGGAAAGGACTTTATTCAATAAATGGTGCTGAGATAACTGGCTAGCCATGTGCAGAAGGTAGAAACTGGATCCTTTCCTTACACAATACACAGAAATCAAATCAAGATGGATTAAAGACTTAAATGTAAAACCTAAAACTATATAAAAACCCTTAGGCCAAGGCGGACAGATCACCTGAGGTCAGGAGTTTGAGATCAGCCTGGCCAACATGGTGAAACCCCATCTCTACTAAAAATACAAAAATTAGCTGGGCGTGGTGGCATGAGTCTGTAGTTCCTGCTACTTGGGAGGCTAAGGTAGGAGAGTTGCTTGAACCCAGGAGACGGAGATTGCAGTTGTGCCAGCAACTGGGTGTGTCCAGCCTGGGGGACAGAACAAGACTCTGTCTCAAAAAAAAAAAAAAAGAATAAATAAAATTTATAAGGAAGTTAAATTCACAAGCAAAAAACAACCCCATTAAAAAGTGGGCAGGCCGGGCGCGGTGGCTCAAGCCTGTAATCCCAGCACTTTGGGAGGCCGAGACGGGCGGATCACGAGGTCAGGAGATCGAGACCATCCTTGCTAACACAGTGAAACCCCGTCTCTACTAAAAAATACAAAAAAAAAAAAAAAATTAGCCAGGTGAGATGGCGGGCGCCTGTAGTCCCAGCTGCTTGGGAGGCTGAAGCAGGAGAATGGCGTGAACCTGGGGGGCAGAGCTTGCAGTGAGCCCAGATCGCGCCACTGCACTCCAGCCTGGGCAACAGACCGAGACTCCATCTCAAAAAAAAAAAAAAAAAAAAAAGTGGGCAAAGGACGTGCACACTTTTCAAAAGATATATATGTGACAAACAAGTGTGTGAAAGTATTCTCAGCATCACTAATCATTAGAGAAATGCAAATCAAAATCACAATGAGATATCTCGCACCAGTCAGAATGGCTATTATTAAAAATAAACAGATACTGGTGAGACTGCTGAGAGAAGGGAACGCTTCTGTGCTGTTGGTGGGAATGTAAACTAGTTCAGTCACTGTAAAAGCAAGTTTGGCGATTCCTCAAAGAACTTAAAAGAGAAACTACCGGCCAGCCGCGGTGGCTAACACCTGTAATCCCAGCACTTTGGGAGGCCAAGGCGGGGAGGATCATGAGGTCACGAGATCGAGACCATCCTGGCTAACACGGTGAAACTCCGTCTCTACTAAAAATACAAAAAAATAGCCAGGCCTGGCGGCATACGCCTGGTAGTCCCAGCGGCTGATGAAGCGGAGGCATGAACCCGGGAGGTGGAGCTTGCAGTGAGCCGAGATAGCGCCACTGCACTCCAGCCTGGGCGACTGAGTGATACTCCGTCTCAAAAAAAAAAAGAGAGAGAAACTACCATTTGACCCCAGCGATCCCATTATTGGGCATGTACCCAAAGAAATATAAATCATTCTGCCATAAAGACACATGCACACGTATGTTCGTTGCAGCACTGTTCACAATAGGCTGACCTGAACTCAGCCTAAACGCCCATCAGCAGTAGACAGGATAAAGAAAATGTGGTACATACATGCCAGGGAATACTACAAACCCATAAAAAAGAATGAGATAATAACTTTTGCAGGCCGGATGTGGTGGCTCATATGTGTGATCCCAGCACTTTGGGAAGCCAAGGTGGGAGGATTAGTTGAGCTCAGGAGTTTGAGACCAGCCTGGGCAACATGGTGAAACCCCGTCTGTACAAAAAATATGAAAGTTAGCTGGGCATGGGGGCGTGCGCCTATAGTCCCAGTTACTTGGGGGACTGAGGTGGGAGGATTGCTTGAGCCAGGAGGTCGAGGCTGCAGTGAGTTGAGCCATGTTCATGCCACTGCATTCCAACCTGACAAAGTGAGACCTTGTCTCAAAAAAAGAGATAATATTCTTTGCAGCAACATAGATGAAGCTAGGGGCCATTATCCTAAGTGAATTAACATAGGGATAGAAAACCAAACACCGCATGTTCTCACTTATAAATGGGAGCTAAATGTCTAGGCACACATTGACACAAACAAGGGAACAATAGATACTGGGGCCTACTTGAGGGTGGAGGGTGAGAGGAGTGTGAGGATCAGAAATACCTATTGGGTACTATGCTTATTGCCTGGATGACAAAATAACATATACACTAAACCCCCATGACACACAATTGATCCATAGAACCAACCTGCACATGTACTCCTGAAACTAAAAAGTTAAAAAAAAATTTTTTTGCTATGCAAAGGATAATTCTAGTTTAATATAAGGTCATTTGAGACTAGTCTGTCATGGGCACCTTATATAAAAATATATACTTAGTCCTTATATAGAATTTTTAAAAATAACTTTTGTTCTTAAAATTCAGATGCATTATTTTTAAATTAATTCCATTTGGAATCTTGTAGTTTTCATAAAATCTTGTAGTTTTCATAAAATGTTTGAATTTCTTGAAGACTCTTTTTCACAATTCTGTGTGCTATTTAACAAGTACCTATTAAACACCTAGTGGATTGCCACTAGGGTCTCTAGCACTGTTGTGTCAACCTAAATAACAAGCAGAGAGACACTCTAAAAGAAATTTATTTGAGAATAATACATTGCAATGGGAATACACATGCCATATTAAACTATTCAGGGAAACAAAGGTTTTTAAAGGAAAAAATGAGGATTACATAATTGTTTTGAAGTAATCCTTGACTACAAAGATCAGTAACAAGGGTGACGCCAGTCTGAGATTGGACAGGCAGTTTCTTGGGCAGATGTCCTTGCAGCAAAAATATTTTTTGTGTAAGGTTGTGATGGCCTTTGTGCAAAGTTGTGTTTTTTATAGTCTTTTTTGTTAACCATACTTATTATAGAAGCCTGAGAACCTTCTGTTCATGGCCTTCTGCAGATCTCTTTGTAAGGGTTTTCTTAACATTAGTGACTCCATTTTTATTTTAACAACTTTCACATTTTCCCCTTTTGATCAGTATCTTTCTCTGATCAGTCATCCTGTAGTTAGGTTTTGACATCCCATAGTACCAGGATAGACGGATCCTGGTTGCTAATCTCATCCCATGTTGGGGAGAAAGATTAACGACTAGGAGTCCGTGTCAAAACCCTTTTAAGCTGCATTTGGGCAAGAAGGGACGTTTGAAGGGAATGACTCTCAGGCTGTGTCTACCTGGATTCCATTATTAAGTTTGATTTTTGTCTGTTCCATAGTCTTTTGTTACTCAAAATGCTGGGCCAGCATTATTGTTAGGTGTGATACTTCTGCAGAAATTTAACAAGTAACAGATACAAAGTTAATAGTAATATATAATTCCAATTTGCATAATGGTTTTGAGCCATGAACCTAGGCTTAAAAACGACTAATTGAGTAGATCAGTGACCACAGGGGATTAGGTGAGACCGTGTAATCATGCGATCTGTTTTCTTATTTTGTGTACATGGGTCTCAGCTTTATCAGAGGGATTTATCTAGGTACAGCATGTAGTACTAGTGATAGCACAGATATTTTCTTTTTTAACCAATGAATACTAAAGGATTTCTTGGGTTAGGTTCTGTTAAGTTACCAGCAGAAGCTATTGATTATGAAATTTCAATTACACCATTATCCTGTCAAGTGAAAAAAGTAGCATTAAATGGGGGTAAAAGTCTTATTATGAAATGGTTCTGGTGTCATGGGAAAAGCTGTCTACAGCTTTCACAAAAACATCAGCTTCTCCTCCTAGTTTATGTTTGAATGTCTCTGGTCATGATATTGTTGTGTGGCTCATAGATCAGGCATGAGACTTGTTTCTTAAACTTTGAATAGTTTCAGCTTATAGGGCTTTAGGAGCAGAAGTTTTTGTTTTTAGTTGGAGTGTTGCGGTCCAATCCTGAAGGAAACTAGGAGAATTCATGAAACAGTCCAGTGTACGTGTGGATAACAACAGGTATATTGTAGTTTTTTTTTTTAAGAATTTTTTTTCCTACATTGATCATATAGGAATTTCAGATTTAAAAATCTCTTGAGGTTAGGAAGTCAAAGACAGGTAGACTTTAGACTTCACTTAGGGTCTTAAGGTTCTTGGGCCTGCTGGGAAGTGACAGGTTTTACTCAGGATAAGGCTGAGAACTCTTGAAGCCAGATGTTTTATGCACATTCTTAAATATGGCATTTTCAGTCAAAGCCTTGGTAATATAGCTAATGTTTCTAATTGTATCCTCATATAAAGAGAGTAGATTTTTATTGAACTTATATAAATAAAAATAATATGAGTAGTTTCTGAATTTTGGAGAAATCAAGTAGGGAGAAAAAGCAAATGGTTCCACCTTTGTTCACCAAAGTCTACTAACATCATAAAGACATTCTCTTCATAATTTACATCAATTTTATGTAATTTTTTGTTTTGCTGCTTGATCTTTATTAGCAGTTCTATGAACTCATGAATTTATTAGAGTTCTGGAAATCTTTATTTAGTCCATTGATCTTAAAGTTACCAGAAATCTTTGTTCAAGAGTACTGCTAGAGTCTTTTCCATGAACAGTAGCTTTGGACTGTAGCTGATTGCAAATGTTTTTAGGGAATTCAGAATAATAATTGTGATGACAAAAACTTAGAATAGCCATGTAA